ACTGTAATCTTCCTCATCGCCAACGCTTTCAACCTGCATGCTCTGCGGCCCTTCTATCCCTCAACCTCTTCTCCGTATTCATAAACTCCCGAATCCCCACCGGCACCCCCTCAAACAACGCCCCTTCATCCTCCCCGTCCAGATCCAAGCCCCTGAACCCCCCAACCTCATCCGAATCCCCCACCCCTCCCTCATCCACACCATCACCCATCCCCATCCCTCTAAACCTCCCTTCCTCCCCACTCCCCACCCTCCTCTGCCCACTCGTAGCATGCCTCCGCTGTTCCCTATCCTTTCTCCTCCTCGCCGCAGCCCACTCTTCCACTTCTTCCCTATAGGCGTCCCAGACGCAATTCACACATCCGCTCATGCAGCAATTATCCGGCTCCGGCGGACGGGCCAGTCCCTTCTCTCCTCTGGCCAGCCCGCGCATCCTGGCACTCGGTCCCGCCAGCGGCGTGGAGAAGAAGACTCTGTTGTCGGGGCCCTTGTCGCTGCCTTGGATGGAAGCCGGTGTGGATTGCACGGTAGATGCGGCAGAGGGTGGGGGTGTGGCGGAGGAAGATGTGGGATTGGAAGATTTGGGTGCGCGGGCTGGGTTGATGGTCTTTTTGGCTGGGGTTGTGATAGGCTGGGAGAGGAGGAGGGAGTAGTAGTCGTCTTCGGGTGGTGCTTGGGAGGAGTGGGAGGGGGGTTCGCGGAGGCGTAGGCGGGCGGAGAGGTGGAAGAGTCGGTAGGGGCGGAGGTGGGGAGGACGAAGCTGTAGCAGTGGCATTATATATGTTGGGTTAATGGACGATTAAAGAAAATGGAGGAAAAGCACTCGATTGGTTCGAGGCACAGGATTATCTATCTAAAACAGCGATTTGGATCGCTTTTGCTTGTCTGAAGCGGCGCGTGCAAACACAGTTGACGTCACAATCTAGCAGGAAAAGCGTAGTCCATGATATGGAAGATTCTCAATTGTCAAATGCTCTAAAAGTTCTGCATAGTCTTTGTTTCAGCAAAATCCCGTATCTCTTCCTCCGGTATCCTGCCCTTCAGCCATGCCAGCACAGCCTCTGTTCCTTTGTCTATCACTTCCCTCCTGGGCACCCTGAATATATTGGCTCCAATAACCAGCGTTCTCAAGCCTTCCGCACTTAGCAGGCCTAATTTAGGATCTAGATGAGCAATGGCATTTCCACTGACATCTAACACCTGCAAGCCTTTCACAGACTCGACCCGCAGCTCCGATATACTGTTTTGCGAAGCATGGACAGACATCAATGCCGGAAAAGACTTTCGGAGGACAGGAAGAGAAGTGAGACGATTACGGGAAACGTTAATCTCCGATAGCTGAGGAGCGGAGAGGAGATCGAGGAGTGGAGACAACGACGTTATTGCGTTATTCGAGAGGTTTAGTGTTCTGAGATTAGGAAGCGAGAGATCCGTGACGATATAGCAGCTACTACCAGTGAGCTTATTGCGGGAGAGATCCAACATCCTTAGAGAACTGCTCATTAGCTCTATCGCTTGAGGAAGCTGTGTAAAGAGATTATGATGTAGGATAAGTGTCTTAACATCCTTCTTCTGAATGAAGGAGTCGAGATTTGAGGGTTCGATGGCTTCGAGATTTGCCGATGAGCGGTCAACAACACCGTAAGGGGTGATGTGCCATGCTTGAGAAATTGCGGTGTCCGTGCTGGAGGCTGGACCTGCGCCTTGGTGGAGTAAGTCGCCTCCCACAGTTTCAGAGGATTCTTCCGGCAGGATGCGGCTTCGCAGTTCGCGCTTCAGAGTATCAGTGTCCATAGTCAAGAACTTGCGCTCTCTCAGAGGATTATGAGCAATTCGTAGCACAGCCAGAGTATCCATTAGCCCAAGCCGCTCATCGAGCTTCTTAATATCGTTTCTGCTGAAGTCGACACTCTTCAGCTTTTTCAGAGATACGATGCTCTCGGGAAGTGAGGCCAGTCTGTTTCCCGCCGTCGTTAGAGTAAGAAGCTCCGTACAACGCAACATATTCGGCAATTGTCTTAGTCTGTTCTCTGAAACGTTGAGAGACTGGAGAGATGGAAGATCAATTGCTCCACTCTCTACTATCGAAGTCAAAGCATTGTTTGCGACGTCCAAAGTTTTCAAACCTGGTAACCCTGATACACAGGCGGGGAAAAGTGCTCCACCAAGTCGATTTCGAGCAGCATCTATCTCCACCATGGGTAAAGATACAAAGAGCTCGAAGGGCAAAGACGACAGCTTATTCCCAGCGACATTCAGGACGCGGAGCTTCGGTATCTCGTCAATGTTAGGCGGTAGAGTAGTAATGGCGTTATTGGAAACGTCAAGAGTTTCTAGCTTCGTTAGATTGCTAAGCTGCGGAGTGAGCATTCCATCGAGAGTATTGTTAGCGAGTCGTAGCTCCCGCAGAGACCCGATCTGAGTGATAACACTCAGACTCTCATTTCCAAGTTTGTTTTTCGAAAGGTTCAACATCGCCAGCTGCTCCAATCTCCGTAAACCTAAGGGGAGTAGCTGTAGATGGTTGCCGTGTAGATCAAGTGCCTCCAGGCCAGCGAACAGCATTCCTTGGAAGTCATCATCCATTGCACTGTCAGCTTCAGCTACGGTATCTGGAAAGACGTCCTCGCGGAGATGCTCAAACTCATTATCTGCGGCTACTAGCCTGACGAGGTCAACGCTTTCGTACCAAGCTCCATCACCAGTGTCGAAAAATTCTGCATTGTACATGTTCAGTACCTCGCTAGGCATGTCCTTCAATCCCATCGCAGCAATGTTGAGCCGTCCATCAGCCCGGGCGGAAGCCACACGCTTGCGCAAGAGGCCTTTATTGCTGCCTCCGATTTCAATTACCGGAAAGTCATCTGTCACCCGTGTAGATGGAACGAAATTATCTATGGTTTGCGACTGACCGAGTTTGTGGCGTGCTGCTTTAGCTTTCGCGATTGTCTCACGGAGTGCAGCTGATGATTTTTGCGCCTTCGAATTTGTAGATGTTGGCCCAGTAGATTCCGAGAAAGTCTGTGAGGACATCTTTGAAGTAAGAGGGAAAACAGGGCAGGGGTCAGTAGCTTCTGTCGATATGGTAGGTAATATCTCCCTCGTACCCAGAGCGGGTTTGCCTCCAGGCTTATCCCTCAGTTTCGGCAGTGGTTTAGCGAATGCACCATGGATTGACGGGCGTTGTTTAGAGGGTCTTGCAGCTAAGGTCTGACTGGCCCTGCCGGGTCTCATCGCGGGCTTATCGGTAAGAGTCTCATCTCTGTGCCGAGCCAAAGTTCCAATGCTCGGCATTGGCGGCTTCGACGGTGTCAGCTCGAGAGTGCGGTTCAGTGTATCTTTTGAAGGGGTTAAAGTTCGGGGAACATGAGAGCTGACCGCTCTTTTACTGGGCGTAATCTGTGACATCCGGTTTCCAGTCGTTGGCTCCACTTGGCGCTTGGTGGGCGACGGCGGCCTTGGAGTTGGAAAACCGGGCGGGTGAGGCGGCCGCTGACCATGGCTAGTACTGGGGCGAGACCTACTCAAGGATGACGTTGGCCGTGACGACGGGGGCACAGGACTCTCCGATGGGAAGAAGCTGGATCTACGTCTGCGTGGAGATGGCGAAGGCGGTATCTGGGAAAGGGTCTCTATGGTCCTGTCCGACAAAGAAGGCCTCGGTCGTCGAGGAACCGTACGTGGCTTGTCGGGAGGGTCTAGCCGGATATCATCTATATCGCTGGCTACTGATGCTTCAACCGTCTGGGATCTAGTAGCCGCTTGTTGCATTGAAGGACTAGCCCCACTGTCGATCTCGACAGGAATCGTCGTATTAATGACATTTTTGGCTGGCTTTTCGGGCACAGCTCGACCTTTGAGTGCATACTTGGTGGGCTCTGGCGGAGGCACCTTCACGGCAGCCCGCGGAAGAGGCAACCTGGAAAGTCTGGGGATACCAGATGCATGGAGATTCCTATGAGGTGGTGGATCCATATTGGCACTGAAAAGCAAACGTGAAGAAGAACAACGCGGCGTATTATATAGCTGTTATGACACCATCTACCCACGAAGCCTTCATCGTCCTTTGGTCTATAACATGCATATGGTAATACAGAATTTGATGTTGTATTGCTCCGAGTTTCCCTGCCAACGCGGATATTAGTTGTGCAGGCGAGAACGCGTCCGATACCAGATTATCTTGACGCTATTTTAGGCGGCATTTCCACTCGGTCTTTCCGCCCAAATGCATGGTACTGATAAATTTCAATACTTTACTACCTAGAATGCTGCAGCCTGTACTGGTATGTTTCACAAGGGTGGGGATAGTAGCGTTACTTTAGATCTGTGGAACTTACGTGATTTAGTATTGTATTTAATGTATGAAGAGCGACTTTCAACTCTTAGTACAAGTATTAGGAGTATTAGAAGATAAGGTACTACATATAAATTAGCTGAGTAAGGGACTCAGTGGGATAGGCAATCTTAGAGCTAGGGCTAAATCGATGTTTCTATTCCGTCTTTTCACCACAGGAAAATAAAACCCCAGAAAACTCTTTCTTTGGAACGAACAATGGGGTTTCTCGGGCATCAAGATAGATATCGATCGAACTATATAATTGTGTAATAGAATAAGCTCGAAGCATTATTGCCCTAACACTACATCTAAGATTCTTGGCCGGACTTATCGGACATTGTATCCCAGTAGATTGCATTTCCGGGTGGAACCGAGTACCGAAAATAGTTGAGTATCCGGATATAAGAAAAATCACTGATACTTCATGCTTTTACGTCGCAGTATCGAGCATGTACTCTTCGTGAGGATTTTCCTTCGCGAAAAGGACACCGGAAGATGTGTGGCATTGTCGCACAGATCCACGCAGACACTTCCTCAGACTCAGCAGCCAGTGGACCTCCATGATGCCCTCTACCTCCTTCAGCACCGCGGACAGGACGCATGTGGTATCGCGACCTGCGGGTCTGGCGGACGGATATATCAATGCAAGGGAAAGTTTTTAACGATGGAGAGCGGATTATGGACTTGCCAGGCTTTATGGGCGTCGGCCATCTACGATATCCTACAATGGGAACAGCCTCTCGGTCTGAAGCACAACCTCTGTTCGTCAACTCACCGTATGGAATTTGCGTAAGTCGTTTGTCTCTCCGAACTCAGAGACGCCTCTTCTATTCCTTCAGACATTCACCACCTACCTTTATTAGATTCAACCGACTCCAAAGCGCGAGCAGACAACGGAAATCTCTTAAACTCAGTTTCGCTCAAGAAATTTCTGGATCAAGAAGCACACCGTCACATCAATACAGATTCGGATTCGGAAATCCTTCCTAATTATTTTGCATCTGAGCTAAATGAGAGCGGGAAAGCTAGAGTCAACGCGGAAGATTGCTTTAAGAGTTTGGAGAGAACATACAAGAAATGCGAAGGTAGTTGGGCGTGTACAGCGATGATTGCAGGATTGGGGCTCATCGGCTTCCGGGATCCCTACGGCATCAGACCCATAGTCATTGGCTCGCGGACGGTTGAAGGCGGCACAGATTACATGATTGCTTCAGAAAGCGTAGCATTGCAGTTTTTGGGATGCCGTCTTGAAGACATTCGAGATCCCTTGCCCGGCGAGGCCGTGATTATCGTCAAAGGTTCGGAGCCAGTGTTTCGGCAAGTGCAACCTAAGGCGAATTACACTCCTGATATCTTTGAGGTAGGCCGCCTTTTCGCACGTTCGCCTTCAACGCTAACTGTAGCTTGAGTACTTGTACTTTGCACGACCCGACTCAATCATTGGTATGTTAATGCAGCACGTCCGCACATCGGTATTAATCCTCTAGCAGACGGTATCAGTGTGGAAAATGCTCGATTCAAGATGGGCGAGAAGCTAGCCGCAACCATCAAGAAGGAGCTGGGGCCTGAAAGACTCGCGCAGGTAGACGTTGTTATCCCAATACCGGAGACCTCAAATACGTCTGCTTGTGCCGTGGCGAAGCACTTGAAGAAAGAGCTTGCAAGTGGCTTCGTAAAGGCAAGTGAGCTATAGTATTTTCAATGTATATGACTGACCATAGTAGAACCGTTACATATTTAGGACATTCTTGATGAGCTCACAACGACTCCGCAGGTCAGGCGTGCGAAGAAAACTCCACGCGATGTCCGCCGAGTTCAAGGACAAAACCGTGCTCCTCGTCGACGATAGTATCGTTAGAGGTAATACCAGTCTCGAGATCTGCTTAATGGCGCGGGAAGCAGGCGCAAAGTCTATCATCTTCCCGTCTGCTTCGCCTCCGGTTCGGCATAGTCATATCTACGGGTCAGTGCCACTGTTTCGTACGAGAGTCTAATTGGAAGTTGCGATGGTGAAGTTTTACTCTGCCTAGCAGTACATCGTTTAGTCCATATAGAATCTCAAATAACTAACTCCTAGGCAGGGTCGATCTCGCATCTGCGGACGAGTTGATTGCATACTCCAAGACTCCGGCGGAGATTGCTGTAGCAATTGGCGCGGACACGGTTATCTACCAGACTCTCCCTGATCTTGAGGCTGCGTGCGCAGAACTCTCGCCACGAGGTATAGATTGCTATTTCGAATCTGGCGTTTTCTCGGGCTGCTACGTAACCGGCGTTCCCGAGGGTCACTTCGAGCACCTCGAGCGGGTTCGCGGTCGAAACAAAAAACCTAAGATTCTGGAGGCAGCGAGACGTACTATCGGCGATACAAGCACGGATGAAGACTTGAGCCAAGCCGTAGCAGGGGTAGAGCTGGGGTCGACGCAGTCTCCGATTGCTTCGTACAGCCAGGACATTAGCTTGCATGACTTTAACGACTACGCATTACCGGAATATTGAGGATCTGGTCTGCATTGGCGTTATGGTGGACGTGGACGTAAAGTAGAACATCGCTTCGCTTTCGCCCATTTCGCTTCTCAGATTTCGAGTCAGCCCGCCGTGCCGTTGTGCAGCATGGCCGGATCCGGTACAGATGAAGGCTTGACAGTCGACAGCCAGCTGGGCTTGATCAGTGAGCAGTCTAGAGAGAATTGCCATCCATCTGGAACGTCACCAAAGCCTCCTGCCCCGCAAACGTTGGCTTTTCTAAGGCTCACAGGCTTCTCGACTTTCCCATGTGACTAGTCCCTGCTCATGCGCGCTGGGTTATGTCCTCTCTTCCAAGACGAGTCACAGACGTCTTCGAGTGCTACTTGGGTCAAGGCTTGATACTTACCCTCCCTTAAGATAGATAACATCTTAGATAATAATATCGCCTCGCTCTATAAAAGCCTAGCTAAAATTTAATAAGAATAGATATATTGCAAAAACAACAAGAAGAGTAAGATACGAAGATATGTTTACAGGGAGAGAGTTTTGGTTGCTGTAAAGCACTTGGACACAGGCAGCAGGAAGCGGAGGGCGGCGAGGGGCAGCTAGCCGGATGCGGCACGCCTTGCCGGAAGACGCTATGAGTAGCGCGCATCATCGCGGGACCCAGCCATCGGGACCCAGCCATCCAGATGTGCTCCACCTTGCAGTGACCAGACGAACTCCCCTCGCACCTCCTCCTTCGAACACCGTTTGGTGTAAGGAGTAACTGTTTAGCAACTTCAGTTATCCTTACAGCTACCACAGACAAACTCTTTGAGCTTCTCTCGCTTCCAAATCACCATTCCCACACCGCTCTAAGTGAATTCAACCACCAGCAAATCATTCTGCATCGAAGCTATCTAAGGTGGGTTCATGCAGCAGTACTCGTCATTTGCATCGGGACGGGCTCTGACAATCGCTCTTAGAGACGTTTCTGCGCCAGAGCTGCACGACTCAACATGGCTGAAATCGCTACGCCGTGTACCCCCATACCCGAATCCGCAATGCGCCACGGCGATGCGACACCCCTATCGAGTCCTGGCGGTTCTAAAGAAGCCAACAACCTCACCAAACTCGGTTCTCCTGTCCGTGCGACCAGTACAATGACTCCTCCGCCTTCCACTCAATTGCCGAGGTCTGCCACCAAATCGGCGCAGGCTAAGTTTCTCAGCAGAAGAGAGCATTCGCTGGCTTCACCTCCTGCAACACTGAAAACTGGCCCACCTTTGACATCGCATGGCCTGTTTGGAGAGGTCCCCACTTTGGAAAATGTCGAGAAAATGGATGAAGCACAGTTGCGGACCCTTGTCTCTGAACTACTCCCGGCATTGGGCGAAGCTCGCGTGACTGCCGCTCACTCAAAGCTCCAACATAGCTTGCTAAGCATTGAGACCGAAGAGTCGGCTAAGCGTGCTGAAGTCGAGCATGAAGCTACACGAAGGGAGGTTCAAGTACTTCAAGAAGGAAGTCCAGTCCACCGTCACAGCTTCAGCCCTCGATCCCCGCAAGCCTCCATGCAACGTAGCCTCCATCTTGCTTTGGCGCACTGTCGTGAGCTGCAACAAGAAAACTCGATATTCGACAAACGTCTTAAAGCTTCGAAGAAGATGATCGCTCGGCTGGATGGACAAAACACCGATCTTAAAGAGCATATTCAGCTTCTACGCCAACGCATCAAAGATAATCGGGATCACTTGAATGAATTGCAATCCTCAGGCGCGATCTCGATCCACAGCACGCCGTTCAATGAGTACAGCACCCCATTGCCCAGGGGCACGCCCAGAACACCCGCCACCACTAGCAGAGCAGCTCGCGATGTAAACCAAGCTGTCAGTAGCCAAGATCCATTCGACGCATTGTTGTTTGCCGGGCAGGTTCTCAACGGCGAAGCCAGCAGCGTTCCGTCCACTCCGAACCAGCCCAGATCAAGGAAGATACATGCACAGCACATACGAGGTGCTCACTCCTTATCCTCCTTACCTACTACGCCAAATAGATCAAGACCGATGACTGCGGACAATGTCCTCGTCACATCAACCGAACGATCTGGCCCGAATCATCGCGTCAGCTTTTCTGCTCCTGGTGCTCAACTTGCCTACCAGGGAGAGACTCGTGCAAAAGAGGACCGTGATAGCACGATATCAGCTTCGGAAGACGAGGAGGTCGAAGAACTCCCGGGATCCCAAGCTAGCCAAGTAGCAGCCAACATGCTGCGCCGCTCCTTGGGATCGCAGAAGGATATGGTTGCAGCCGCTGCTCAGGCACCAGACTCAGGAAAGTCGACGCAGGGAAAATTGTTCGGTCAAGTCAAGAAGCCAGGTGTGGCAAGGATGGAAAGTTCCACGAAGCGCGGCAACGATGTGAACTCATACGATGAGATTGTACGGAGCAGCAAGAAGTCCAGAACGGCTGATTCCGCTTCAGATAGAGTGGGATTGGGTATCAACAGCTGGCCGGTTCCAGGTCAATAGCGATTTGAGCAATCAGCAACGCCAATCCACCGCTTCTCATTTGGTTCTATTACGCGAACGAGTTCATTGAACATTGCTCTTGAGCACTAATCATCATAGCATCGTCATAGCTCCGCAAAGAGCTGCGTCGCTGTCAACATTTTGTCACAAACACTGTACATATTTCAGAGAGGACGAAGTGGCAGCTTTGCTAGATAGAGGGGATAAGCTTGCGATTATCTTAGCTTCACAAACACGCTTCAACTTTTTCTAGAAGAATTTGAAGCATCGAAATCGTAGTTCAATTATATTCGAGACAACTGCGAGTAGAGGAAGACAACGTTCACACCCCCTGATTTGAGTGCCACCAGCGCCAAGCCTTTGACCTGGACGCTAGTCTTGTAGGGCTGGGTAAGCGAAAGTTCCCACAAGCGGATCTGAAAACCATCATCGAAGGTGTGCACAACGACAACGCCAAAATCTTGATCGCCAACAGTCACAATGGTGAGTAGCTTGCATCTGATGGCAGCCGGTACCTCTAGTCATCATGACCGGGAATGCTTGAGCTTGGACGACATTGACTGACTTAAACAACCATGACAGACGATCAAGCACAATCAGCAGATACAGCACAACCGTGAGCTCAACCTGGCTTCGCTTGGTCTCCAGGCTGGCATACTGATGACACCCAGATTTCCGCAAGGATTGGCAACGTCGTGTGCGAACTCACTTCGACCAGGTACGCGCTACGCCCTCCAAATCTCAAGCCGGTCCATTCAACTGCGGCGCTCAGAACAGCTTGCTAATGCCATCCCATAGCCTGGACGCAAATCACGTCGTCGAAATGCCCGTCTCGTGAAAGCCGCAGCTGTCGCGCCTCGCCCAGTTGACAAGCTCAAGCCTGTAGTGCGATGCCCTTCGATCAAGTACAACCGCCGCGTTAGAGCTGGACGTGGATTTTCGCTGGCTGAATTGAAGGTATGGATATTCTCACACTAGCAGAAGATGAGAAATATGTTGTCTCGAGGACACTCTGACAAGGTCTACTGTCTCGTAGGAAGCCGGCATCCCCCGCAAACTCGCCCCCACCATCGGCATCAGCGTCGACCCCCGTCGCGCCAACCTTTCCGTCGAATCCCTCACCGCCAACGTCGCCCGCCTGAAGGCCTACCGCGAACGCCTAATTCTTTTCCCCCGGCGCTCCGGCCAGCACAAGAAACTCGATAGCAGCAAAGAGGAAATCGAGGCCTACGCCAAGGGCGAGAAAGAGAGCGCTCATAAGGTGCACCATATTCTGCCAATCAAGAACATGGCCAAAGAGGACGCTATTGGTGAGGTCAGTACGAGCGATATGCCAGAGGGAGAGGAGGCCGCATATAGGAAATTGAGGGATGCAAGGAGCGAGGCTAGATTGGTGGGTGTGAGGGAGAAGAGGGCGAAGGCCAAGGCTGAGGAGTCAGCTGCTGCGAAGAAATAGATGGTGCGAATCAAGAGCGGATGTGAAATCAATGCCGATGAATGATAGGCTCTGAAAGGTTCACTGGTTGTTGTCAAAGCAAGCAGAAGGTGGATGCTTGCAAGCATTCTTCACCTGTGCTTTTCGATCACATTCTCTATGTTCTATGTTTCATTACCACTTGCTAGCCGTGATCATTCTCGCTTGACATCGACCACAAAGATCTTCTCAAATCTGCCATCCGTCTACTCAGGCCAGCGTCTATTGTCCACCACCCCAGATGCAGCGCAATCACAACGCCAGTGTCGATCTTACATCTGAGGCCCGTGATCTGAACAGCTGTCGATTACGTCGCTGCTGATTATTCGAATTCAAACATGGTCTCGATGGCACGCAAAGATCCTGAAAGTTTCCCCGTAGGGTTTTTTGAACTTGGCCTCAGCGTCTACGTTCTGGTTCAACATCACTCCCGGAACCTGGCATTGCTCCACGACGCAACGTCGAGCCCCCCTAACCCTTCCCAATGGTCTCGAGTGCACATCTCTTTGCCAGATCTGACTGACGCAGTATGGAAACCATTGCCTCTGGCTCAATTCCTCCCATGCGGACAAAGCCAGCGTTGGTCCTCCCAGATGGAACTCCGTCCGCGCCTAGAGCTTTACAAATCAAGGTTGAGTTCGTCGCTTCGCAACTCAGGTGGGTTTCTCCATGATACTTCAACAACAGGAGAACCTCGAATACAAACCCAACCACCCAGTGTCCCCTGCATATTCCCAACCATTCCGGTCCTGACGAGCATCCCTCTCCATCGCATCCGCAACACAGCAAGCTGCCTTTTCCCATCCCCTTAATCCTGTGGCATACTCGCAAACAACCATGTTCCACAAGATGCCCCAAAACCCTTCCGTCCGGCTAACAAACACATACTCACAAGGCCTCCATCCAACATTACCCAACAAGACGCCCAACTCCCCGCTCACATCCCGAAAGCGCGCACGAGAAAAATCAGCAGGACCCCACCAGCCAAGCTACCATTTTGAGTGAGAAAAGGGGAACAAGCACCAAACACCTCGCCCGCGACT